TAGCATTCTAGCACTAAAGTACGACCTATTTTGAAAATATCCGCCTTGCGAAAACTCTTGCATGTTTTTGGCGCCACCTCCTGGACTATTCATCACTAATTATTGATTTGAGGGTATTTCGCGTACTTTGACGGTAATTCCATAGGATTTTGCGTACTTCGAAGGCAATACCTGGTACTTCGAGGTACTTCAAGAAATTTCTATGTACTTCGAAGTATTTTAGAGGTAATTCGGGCAAAGTGTACACGTATTTCGGGAAGTGGTTAACCCCTCGATATTACTAGTTTGGTAAAGTAACATTACTAAATTCATGTTAAAAGGCGAATTGACAAAAAGTGGATAATCTTACAAATTCTGACTTTATATAATAAGTTATTGTTCAAGTACAAATAAGTGGATTGTTGCGGAACTTATGGGTGGACCTCTGCGGGACGAGCGCAGCGAGTTCCGCAGCCATCTAATCACCAATATACTATTGAATTGTTCAAGTAAAACATTCACCTGAAATGTGTAATTTTTAAACTAATAAAAATAACGCACATTTGAGTGAGTCAGTTTAGTATCGTAATTAAACAACATATTGATGAATAGATGGCTGCGGAACTCGCTGCGCTCGTCCCGCAGAGGTTCACCCATAAGTTCCGCAACAATCCACTTATTTGTACTTGAACAATAACTTATTATATAAAGTCAGAATTTGTAAGATTTTCCACTTTTTGTCAATTTGCCTTTCAGCAGGAATTAGTAATGTTACTTTACCAAACAAGTAATATATTGTGATAAGTTATTCAAGTATTAACGAGTAGATTGTTGTGAAACTTATGGGTGGACCTCTGCGGGACGAGCGCAGCGAGTTCCGCAGCCATCTATTCATCAATATGTTGTTTAATTACGATACTAAACTGACTCACTCAAATGTGCGTTATTTTTATTAGTTTAAAAATTACACATTTCAGGTGAATGTTTTACTTGAACAATTCAATAGTATATTGGTGATTAGATGGCTGCGGAACTCGCTGCGCTCGTCCCGCAGAGGTTCACCCATAAGTTCCACAACAATCTACTCGTTAGTACTTGAATAATTTATCACACTATATTACTTGTTTGGTAAAGTAACATTACTAATTCCTGCTGAAAGACAAATTGCAGCTTTTTTCAAATGGGATGTCCTATATTTGGTTCTATATTCTTGAAGAACACAATTTCCCGATTCCAAAACTATATAGTTTGTCCATATTTGGTTGAGCCGTCTCCAACACACACAACAACAACTAAAAATTTCAAAAATACTATCAGAGAAACCAAGCTATACCTCAAATTTTACCTGTACCTTTCACCTGTATAGGTAGAATGGTTCACAAAATCAGTAGTAGGATAGTATTTCTACAATTTTTGGCGCCGAATATATGAGAGACTGTTCGATCAAATATAGACAAATTATATATTTTTGGAATCGGGGCATTGTGCTCTTCAAGAATATAGAATGAAATATAGGGCATCCCATTCGAAAAAAGTTGGAAGCATCCAAAATTTCACATTTCTGACATTTAAATTTTGTTTCTGATCATGGTTTCTAAAAATTCAGCCAAAACTGTAAAACTTTTCTATTTATACCTTTCTTTTACCTGTATAGGTGAAGGCTGTAGGTGGGGTGTCAATATACAGGGTGTCACGAAAGGTACGTTACAAACTTCTTTGTAAACGAAAAGACAACTTTTTTATTAATTCTAAGAAATGCGTTCGTTTTAGGAAAAAAGTTTTTTGTTATTTTTTGTTTATTTTTAAGCAGCAAATAGGCTGATAAAATTTCAGGTAATTCTGAGGCAATTTATATTTTATTTATGGAAGTCAGTGATGTTTGTGGTTCGCCTCAAATAGTTTTTAGATTTTATCTCGAAAACAAAGCAGCATACGGAAAAAAATGGAGACACAAAAAAGGTCTATTTTTGAGTGTTTTATTCAGAAAACATATCTTAATTGAAAATAAATCTACTTGGCGATTGGCTTCGTGCAAAAAACCATCCGACATGGCCTGTGGGCATGCCCCTGAAATTACTGGGTCAACACTGAGCAGTCCAAAAGATACCCCATAAGGGTGTCACTAACTGAAAATTTCATTTAATTCGTCCAACTCATTTCTGAGAATTAATAAAAAAATCGATTTTTTTAAACAAAGTTTAACACCCTGTATCTGGAAAGCGAAGCATTTCTAGAGATATGTTAATTAGAAAAAAAGCTTAATTTTTACGAGATCTACAATCCCTGGAAGTTTGTAACATACCTTTCGTGACACCCTGTATAAAAAACACCCTGTACCTACCTATTTAAAATCATCTTATTCTCCTAAATAGTTCCCCCATTCCCATATTTTTATGGGCCATAACTTCGAAAAACCGTAACATGCACAATGTACTGCGAAAACTAACCCAAACTAACTCAATCTGGCTTACTTCAACTTAAACTGTCTCCCCCTTTCAAAAGGCCTGTATCCGCCCCTGCCTACTTGAATAGCTCATAAGGTAGCTTCCTAGTAGTAGTAGTAGAATCCTATTTCCCCTTGTTTGTCGATGTTATATCTAAACCAATTATCTCCTAATTTCCTAAAATTTATTGGTACTTACTTGTCGATATAAATCCTTCTCATCCAGCGGGTCCATTTATAATGTGTGTGATATACTCTTAATATCTATTGAGGATTCAGGAGATCAGTATCATTCTATTGTTCATGCTGACTAGTATTTATCAAATAATGATATTATTGTTACGAAATTACATTGGTGCGAAGAAGCCGACGTCATGTTAGGGTCGTAGCACGAATATTTAGGAATTCGTTCATCAATATGATGTATAGTGTTAGCATTTATGAAAATTAAATCATTACGAGTTCTTTCCTCTAATATTCCAATGTGTTCAAATTCCTAGTTCTCGCTTTTCGAGGTTCCCCATAAGGTGAAAGTTGTGATGTCTATGGGGACATAGTTGGCTAGAAAAATGGACCAGAAATTATTCGGTCTTCAAAATGTTTCCGCTGAACCTGTCTAGTATTATGCGCAGGACACCCATCCTGTTGAAACCCTATTCGTCTAAATTGGTTTTCCGGAAAGGATCATTATTAGGGCTGGTATAATTTGATTGATCAGTTTATCAGCATATACCCGGCACCATTTAAGTTTTGATGGAAGATGAAGGAACCAAGAAGATCTCCGTCTATTTTAATGTGGATTTTAGCGCGGTTGGCATGGCAACTTGGACCAAGTAAGTTGGCAGCCAGCCTACTTACTTGGATGTTAGTACCTATCCAACTGGACTCGGATAAACAATTATGATCCAAGTATCCCAAGTGACGCACGCGTAGTTTTCAAGGGTGCTTGATCCAAGGACACTTGGATCGTGTAAACCTGGCTGTTGGCTGTCCAGTTGGATAGGTCCTAGCATCCAAGTGAGTAGGCTGGCTGCCAAATTACTTGGTCCAAGTTGTCATCCAAGTTGTCTACTTGTTGCTAAGAAATATTTTACTTGTTATTGAAAGTGTATCTTCTTTTTTGAGTCATGTCATTCTGTCATTCCTATATCATGTTTTTGTTTCCATATTAGTGCAAAACTCGTGTATTTTTCCGAGAGTTTTTTTTTATGGAAAAATATATACAACTTTGTCAGATTTTCGTGTGAAAAATATTTCAATTGGATATTGTCGTAAAATATCAAAATTTGGTCAGCATGTTAATACATCATTCGAAAGGCCCTTTTAAATACCTACTCATGATACTTAAGTAGGTAGTTAGGTACCAAGGTTCCTTAAGTAATAGATTATTTAGTAATGGCGGGATGGCGGGTACCTTGATGACGCATCTAGGGTGCCCTAAGTAGCTTTAATTCTTTCCAGACAGTAGACATAACAGCCCTATTAGACTCATGTCTATGGGACTATTGCTCGTGCAAAGAAAAAGACCGCATTTCCTGCACTTGCGAAACTTTGGAAGTTTACGTGCAAGATTGCCACCACAAAGGCGTCAAAGACATTGCCAATTGGAGAGATGAGAATACTTGCCGTAAGTAATCTTCAAATATTTCACTGATCCCTTCAATTATTATCATTTTCCAGCAATTAAATGTTCGTCTGGCAAAGTATACATGACATGCGGTCCGAAAAATGGACAACAAATGTGCGGATCGGTGTCCACAATGCCGCAAAACGAAGACTCCTGCATCGAAGGCTGCTATTGTCCGGAAGGTACAGTTTTGCACGAGGATAAATGCATCACCAAAGACCAGTGCCCTTGTAAGCTTCGAGGCAAAAGTTTCCAGCCTGGAGCGTCGATTCCTAAGGCTTGCAACACTTGCACTTGCAGTAATGGAGAATGGGATTGTACACAAGTAATACTAAATCATTGTGATAATAATAATGGAAATCAAATTGTATGATTTTGTAGATTTCTTGTGGTGCTAGATGTGCGGCAGTAGGCGATCCTCACTATATCACATTCGATGGGAAACGTTACGATTTTATGGGACAATGTACCTACTATTTAGTCAAAACTGATAATTTTTCTATTGAAGCTGAAAATGTCGCTTGCGCTGGTTCAATTTCGGCAGCAATGAATTTTCCTACTAGCATTTCTAGTGGTTAGTCTATTCAAAACTCACCCAAATAAAAAATATTATGATATAAACCTCTTACAGGTTTACCATCTTGCACCAAAACTGTTACCCTAAGATATAACGGCCAAGTTATAAAACTAAAACAAAATCACGACGTTGTAGTTAACGGAATAGATATAACGAAAATTCCTTTTAACATTTCTGGAATAGTTATTCGTGCAGTTTCTTCAATATTCCTTCAGGTGGAAATACCAAATGGCATAGAAATATGGTGGGACGGCGTCACGCGAGCCTACATCGATATACCGGCCTCGTTTCAAGGCAAAACCAAAGGCCTATGTGGAACTTTCAATAATAATCAAAAAGACGATTTTATAACCCCAGAAAACGACGTCGAACAAGCCGTAATTCCCTTTGCAAACAAATGGAAAACTAACGAAAAGTGTAACGATGTGCCTGAAATCTTATCCGGCCATCCTTGTGACGTTAATCTACATAATAAAGCAACTGCCGAAAAGTATTGTTCCAAAATCAAGGGAGAATTGTTCAAGGATTGTCATTGGTGAGAGGATTGTTTTTGACTGTTGTAAATATAAAAATTTGGTTTTTATATAGGCATGTTGATCCAGATCAGTTCTATCAAGATTGTTTGTACGACATGTGCGCTTGTGAGTTCCAAGTTTCGAAGTGTCTATGTCCGACAATGTCTTCTTATGCTGCTGAATGTGCTAGAAATGGTAAGGTACTCATCATGAATAAGCTTTAAAATTTTTCAATGGGAATCTGGATCATTCAGATCCTGTATCATGAAGGATATGACGAAACGGGTTCCTGTAATTACACAATTATTATTGTAACGATGTGAAGTTACTACGAAAAGAAGTGGTCGAATCAGTAAGCCTCCAGAGAAATTCACATGTTGAGTCATTAATGTGGAAATTCTACGTTCCTCGAGGTGGGAGTGTTGAAAGTCGCCGAACCTATACTGCAAGAAAACAAATCACAACCTCAGGAGGAAACCTTTTACCTTTATTTTTATTTTTTGATACCTGACATTGTTATTAGTAGGGTGTTTTCACAGCTATCACACTTCTACCACGTAAAAACCCTCCTCCAGCACAGCCATCATACCTCTACCCACCTCCACTGTAAACCCCTTTCCGTGAAGCTCCTACCCTGATGAGGCACTTTTTACCCACCTCTACTGTAAGCCCTCTTTCGTAAAGCCCTCCATTAATCTATTTTCAAAAGGCTCCTACCCTGAGATGGCACTTTTTTATATCCCTCCACTTTCTTGAAAACTAAAGGATATTTAACTAATTCTTTCACTTGCATTCGTCAATTTTGAGGTTGGCCCGAGTCAAATCCCAAAAATTTTAGATCAAAGGCGCCGCTGATCTAGGGATTTTCCTACGGTATCGAAAAACTTCCCAGGCTCAAGTGCTCCCGGCTATCAGACCAATACCCACCTCTATTACGTAAATGGTCCACCAGATTCACAAATTTTTGGGGTTGGCCCGGGTTAAATCCCCAAAATTTTAGATCAAAGGTGCCGCTGATCTACAGATTTTCCTATGGTATCGAAAAACTTCCCAGGCTCAAGTGCCCCCGGCTATCAGACCAATACCCAGCTCTACTACGTAAATGGTTCACCAGATTCACAAGCAAAATGTTTATCATTGTAATAAAATTAATGCACCTGTTTATAACTAATACCTACCTCACAGCTATCAGAGCAATACCCACCTCTACTACAAAAAGCTTCTACTCTGAAAGTCTGAAGAGGTACCTCTTTCCATATCCCTTCACTTTCCAGAAAACTAAGGAATATTTAACCAATTCTTCCTTTTGTATTCGTCAATTTTGGGGTTGGCCCGGGTCAAATCCCCAAAATTTCAGATCAAAAGCGCCGCCGATCTAGAAATTTTCCCACGGTATCGAAAAACTTCCCAGGCTCAAGTGCCCCCGGCTAACGGACCAATACCCACCTCTACTATGTAAATGGCTCACCAGATTCACAAGCAAAATGTTATTATTGCAATAAAAATAATGCACCTTTTTATGACCAATATCCACCTCACAACTATCAGAGCAATACCCATCTCTACTACGTCGAAAAGCTTCTACTCTGAAGAGGTACCTCTTTCCATATCCCTTCACTTTCTTGAAAACTAAGGAATATTTAACCAATTCTTCCATTTGTATTCGTCAATTTTGGGGTTGGCCCGGTCAAATACCCAAAATTTCAGATTAAAGGCGCCGCCGATAGAGATTTTCCCACGGTATCGAAAAACTTCCCAGGCTCAAGTGCCCCCGGCTATCAGATCAATACCCACCTCTACTACGTAAATGGTCCACCAGATTCACAAGCAAAATGTTTATCATTGCAATAAAATTAATGCACCTGTTTATGACTAATACCAACCTTACAGCTATCAGAGCAAGAACCACCTCCACTACGTCGAAAAGCTTCTACTCTGAAGAGGTACCTCTTTCCATATTCCTACACTTTCCTGAAAACTAAAGAATATTTAACCAATTCTTCCATTCGTATTCGTCAATTTTGGAGTTAGCCCGGGTCAAATCCCCAAAATTTCAGATCAAAGGCGCCGCCGATCTAGAGATTTTCCCACAATATCGAAAAACTTCCCAGGCTAAAGTGCCCCCGGCTATTGGACCAATAACCACCTCTACTACGTAAATGGTCCACCAGATTCACAAGCAAAATGTTTATGATTGCAATAAAATTAATGCACCTGTTTATGACCAATACCAACCTCACAGCTATCAGAGTAATACCCACCTCTACTACAAAAAGCTTCTATTCTAAAGAGGTACCTCTTTCCATATCCCTTCACTTTCCTGAAAACTAAAGAATATTTAACCAATTCTTCCATTTGTATTCGTCAATTTTGGGGTTGGCCCGTTCAAATCCCCAAAATTTCAGATTAAAGGCGCCGCTGATCTAGAAATTTTCCCACGGTATCGAAAAACTTCCCAGGCTCAAGTGCCCCCGGCTATTGGACCAATACCTACCTCTACTACGTAAATGGTCCACCAGATTCACAAGCAAAATGTTTATCATTGCAATAAAATTAATGCACCTGTTTATGACCGATACCTACCTCACAGCTATCAGAGTAATACCCACCTCTACTACAAAAAGCTTCTATTCTAAAGAGGTACCTCTTTCCATATCCCTTCACTTTTCTGAAAACTAAAGAATATTTAACCAATTTTTCCATTTGTATTCGTCAATTTAGGGGTTGCAATAATAACATTTTGCTTGTGAATCTGGTGGACGATTTATGTAGTAGAGGTGGGTATTGGTCTGATAACCGAGGGCACTTGAGCCTGGAAAGTTTTTCGATACCGTGGGAAAATCCCTAGAACGGCGGCGCCTTTGATATGAAATTTTGGGGATTTGACCCGGGCCAACCCTAAAATTGATGAATATAAATGGAAGAATTGGTTAAATATTCTTTAGTTTTCAGGAAAGTGAAGGAATATGGAAAGAGATACCTCTTCAAAGTAGAAGCTTTTCGACGTAGTAGAGGTGGGTATTGCTCTGATAGCTGTGAGGTGGGTATTAGTCATAAACAGGTGCATTATTTTTATTGCAATAGTAACATTTTGCTTGTGAATCTGGTGGTTCATTTACGTAGTAGAGGTGGGTATTGGTCTGATAGCCGGAGGCACTTGAGCCTGGGAAGTTTTTCGATACCGTGGGAAAATCCCTAGATCGGCGGCGCCTTTGATCTAAAATTTTGGGAATTTGACCCGGTCCAACTCTAAAATTGATGAATATAAATGGAAGAATTGGTTAAATATTCTTTAGTTTTCAGGAAAGTGAAGGAATATGGAAAGAGATACCTCTTCAAAGTAGAAGCTTTTCGACGTAGTAGAGGTGGGTATTGCTCTGATAGCTGTGAGGTAGGTATTGGTCATAAACAGGTGCATTATTTTTATTGCAATAGTAACATTTTGCTTGTGAATCTGGTGGTTCATTTACGTAGTAGAGGAGGGTATTGGTCCGATAGTTGGGGGCACTTGAGCCTGAGAAGTTTTTCGATACCGTGGGAAAATCCCTAGATCGGCGGCGCCTTTGATCTGAAATTTTAGGTATTTGACCCGGGCCAACTTCAATATTGACGAATACAAATAAAAGAATTGGTTAAATATTTTTTAGTTTTCAAGAAAGTGGAGGAATATAAAAAAGTGCCATCTCAGGGTAGGAGTCTTTTGAAAATAGATTAATGAAGGGTTTTACGGAAAGGGGTTTACAGTCGAGTTGGGTAAAAAGTGCCTCCTCAGGGTAGGAGCTTAACAGAAGGGGGTTTACAGTGGAGGTGGGTAGTGGTATGATGGCTGTGCTGGAGAGGGGCTTTTACGTGGTAAAGGTGGGTATTAGCCTGATAGCTGTGAAAACACTCTACTGTTATTAATATTATCATTGTAATTTTTATATGTTCGCAGGCATAAAAATCGATTGGAGAAACGAAGTAAGAGAATGCGGTATCCATTGTCCGGGAGGTCAAAAGTACCAAGTTTGCGGCAATTCTTGCTCTAGAACTTGCAGCGACATTTCCCTCCGTCCGGATTGCAAACCGCAGTGCGTCGAAGGGTGTAATTGTCCAGAGGGTCAAGCATTAGGTGAGTTATCTGAGTTTGTACATTCAATAAAATAATACTGGTTAATTTTCAGATGACGATGGTGAATGTGTTCCGATTGGCCAATGCAAATGCTACCAAGACGGGCTGGAATTCCAAGCAGGCTACAAAGAAGTACGGCCTGCTAGTCACGGTTTGGAGCTATGCACTTGCTCGAATGCGATTTGGAAGTGCAGATTGGCACTGCCTCAGGAAATATTAGATTTTCCTAGAGCAAACGATTTAAAAGCCAAGTGCGATAGCTCTCGGTAAAATTTTGTTATTTGGACTATGATTTATATAATGCAATTTTCTTATAGCTTTTTCGAATTTACAACTTGCGAAGACGTGGAGCCTGTTACATGCAAAAACATGCACACAAACGAGCATTTTTCACCTACCGTATGCCATTCTGGTTGTAAATGTAAAGACGGCTACGTTTTAGACAGTAAAAATAAAAAATGCGTAAAACCTAATGAATGTCCTTGTCATCATGGAGGTAGAAGCTATAAAGAAAAATCTATAGGTATAAGTAAATTTTAACTAATACATACATGTGACTACAAGATATCTATAATTTTTTAGTTCAAAGTGACTGTAACACTTGCACATGTAAAAATGGCAAGTGGCAATGCACCGACAGACAATGTACAGCTGAATGTTCCACTTGGGGCGATTCTCACTATAAAACTTTTGATGGTAAACATTTCGACTATCAAGGACAATGCGACTTTGTTTTAGCCAAAGGAAGTCTCGGTGCCGATTCATTCGACATCACCATTCAAAACGTACCGTGCGGCTCTTTGGGCACTAGCTGCTCTAGAAGTCTAACAATCAGAATTTCATCCGGAGACGATTTGGAAACTTTCACTTTAACCAAAGACAAACTTGTTCCGAGATTTGCAACCAAAAAACACATGACCATAAGAGAAAGAGGAATTTTCGTCATAGTTGAAGCGCCAGATTTAGGTTTGCTGGTGCATTGGGACAAAGGCACCAGGGTCTATGTAAAAGTAGACCCGCGCTGGAAGGAAAAAATCAAAGGCCTTTGCGGAAATTACAACGAAAATGAAGCTGATGACTTCCAAACACCTTCGGGAGGCCTAGCGGAAGCCTCTCCGAAAATATTCGGCGACTCTTGGAGATTGCAAAGCTATTGTCCGGAAGCTTTAGAGCTAGAAGACACTTGCGCCGACAGACCTGACAGAAAAGTATGGGCAATGAAAAAATGTGGAATATTAAAAAGTCCATTATTCGCCCCTTGTCATTCGGAAGTCCCACTGGATAGTTATTACGACAGGTGTGTTTTTGATACGTGTGCCTGCGATCAAGGCGGCGATTGTGAATGTTTATGTACTGCCTTGGCAGCATACGCTCAGGAGTGTAACAATAGAGGCGCCCCAGTACGTTGGAGAAGTCAGCATTTATGCCCTATGCAGTGCGATCAGAGATGTTCGGTTTACAGTCCTTGCATCAGCACTTGTCCCCTGGAAACTTGCGATAATTTATTGACGAATAGTAAATTGACGAAAAGTTGCAACGAGGATAGTTGCGTTGAAGGTTGCAATCCTAAACCTTGTCCTCCGGATCATGTTTATTTAAATGAGTCTTATACGGATTGTGTTCCTAGGAATATTTGTAAGCCTTTATGTTTGGTTGATGATAATACGGAGGCTGTTTATTATGAAGGTGATTTAATGGAAGAGGATGATTGTCATAGTTGTTATTGTTCAAGAGGAGAGAAAATTTGCAAAGGACAACCTTGTACTACTACCGAGGCACCTATTTTTACTACGCATCAATTGGAGCAAAATGTTCAGTGCCTGGAAGGTTGGACTAGTTGGATCAATCAGGACACTGTAAGTTGTTTTAATATGGATATTTAGTGATTACATAATTTGTTGTAGGTTATAGCAGGCAAAATCAAGCTTAAGCTGACAGACATTGAACCTTTACCGAATCCAATAGTTTTAAATAATTTACAAAGTGCCAGCAAGTGTAACATAAATCAAATGACTCGTATCGAATGTTTAACTGTTGACGGTAAACATCCAAAAGATTTAGGCTTGGATGTTGAGTGTAGCTTGGAAAATGGCCTAATTTGCCGGTAGATATATTCTACATATAGCAGCAAGTGCATACAGTAAATGCAATTGATTTTAGATCTACAAATCCTGACAAACCATGCCCGGACTTCAAAATCAAAGTTTTCTGCGAATGCGAAAAACCTACAACACCACTCGCACCAACTGGAGCCCCTCCTTGTGACATTTCAAGGCCCAACCAAGAACATCCTACAGATTGTCACAGTTTCTACCAATGTACACCAACAATGAACGGATTTGAATTAGTATGTTGTAACTTGGTTCATATATAAAAGATTTTGTTTTAATTTTATTCAGGTTGAAAAAACTTGCGGTCCTGACATGCTCTACAATCCAGAATCGATGATATGCGACTGGGAAGACAATGTACTGAAAATCAAACCGTTTTGCAGTCTGCTAGAGTTTACTGAAGCGCCAACTGAAGGGGTACCAGTATGTCCACCCGGAATGGTCAAAGACGAGTGTGCCGTCGAATGCCAAAAACTGTGCGATTATTATTTGTTTGTTGTGCGAGAACAAGAACTTTGTTCTGAAGGGACGAAATGCGAATCAGGATGTGTCGCTGCTGAGAAGAAACTGGAATGTCCAAGAGGTAACACTTTTCAGATATTACATCAGGCATGATTCTGTTGGTTCTAGTTGGTGTCTAAAATTTGTAGGGTTCTCTTTCCAGTTGTTTGAGTTTTATATTACTCATATCCAATAACGTAGATGCCTTTTACAGATCAAATATTTTGTACAAAATTAGCAAAAGTCACTCCCTGCTTTGTTTGTTGAAGTTAAGTTAAGTGGAGGTTGGCTTTTTTACCTTTTACCAAGTTCTTCCATAAGATGAAGCACAAAATAACTAGGCCTTGCTTCAAAAAGTAATTCGGGAGGAGATCTGCCTTGTTAATGATACCATAGGCAGGACCGCAACTAGAACCCTCGGCGCCCGAGTTCAATCGAAATTTTGGCGCCTACTACTAATCCTACCATTGTATAGAGATATACAGGATGATCAGTATTTTATTATTCCCGGCTTTTGTATCTTCCACGAAAGTTGGTTATCGAAAACAAGTCCACCACTGTGTAAAGATACGGGGTGATCAATATTTTAATATCCTCAACTCTTAATGTAGAAATCATTCACGAGAGCCAGAAATAGAAAACAATTTTACCCACTGTAATTTGATTCAACTAAAATAAACCACTGCATAAAGATACAGAGTGATCAATATTTTATCATTCTCGGCTCTTGTAGAAAATCTACCACAAAAACTGATAATCGAAAACGAGTCCACCACTGTGTGAAGATACGGGGTGATCAATATTTTAATATCCCCGGCTCTTGATGTAGGAAATCTGTCACGTGAGCCGGTAATAGAAAAGGATTTCACCCACTGTAATTTGACTCAACAAAAATAAGCCACTGTATGAAGATACAGAGTGATCAATATTTTATTATCCCCGGCTCTTGATGTAGGAAATCTGTCACGAGAGCCGGTAATAGAAAAGGATTTCACCCACTGTAATTTGGCTCAACAAAAATAAGCCACTGTATGAAGATACAGAGTGATCAATATTTTATTATCCCCGGCTCTTGATGTAGGAAATCTGTCACGAGAGCCGGTAATAGAAAAGGATTTCACCCACTGTAATTTGACTCAACAAAAATAAGCCACTGTATGAAGATACAGAGTGATCAATATTTTATTATCCCCGGCTCTTGATGTAGGAAATCTGTCACGAGAGCCGGTAATAGAAAAGGATTTCACCCACTGTAATTTGACTCAACAAAAATAAGCCACTGTATGAAGATACAGAGTGATCAATATTTTATTATCCCCGGCTCTTGATGTAGGAAATCTGTCACGAGAGCCGGTAATAGAAAAGGATTTCACCCACTGTAATTTGACTCAACAAAAATAAGCCACTGTATGAAGATACAGAGTGATCAATATTTTATTATCCCCGGCTCTTGATGTAGGAAATCTGTCACGAGAGCCGGTAATAGAAAAGGATTTCACCCACTGTAATTTGACTCAACAAAAATAAGCCACTGTATGAAGGTACAGAGTGATCAATATTTTATTATCCCCGGCTCTTGATGTAGGAAATCTGTCACGAGAGCCGGTAATAGAAAAGGATTTCACCCACTGTAATTTGACTCAACAAAAATAAGCCACTGTATGAAGATACAGAGTGATCAATATTTTATTATCCCCGGCTCTTGATGTAGGAAATCTGTCACGAGAGCCGGTAATAGAAAAGGATTTCACCCACTGTAATTTGACTCAACAAAAATAAGCCACTGTATGAAGATACAGAGTGATCAATATTTTATTATCCCCGGCTCTTGATGTAGGAAATCTGTCACGAGAGCCGGTAATAGAAAAGGATTTCACCCACTGTAATTTGGCTCAACAAAAATAAGCCACTGTATGAAGATACAGAGTGATCAATATTTTATTATCCCCGGCTCTTGATGTAGGAAATCTGTCACGAGAGCCGGTAATAGAAAAGGATTTCACCCACTGTAATTTGGCTCAACAAAAATAAGCCACTGTATGAAGATACAGAGTGATCAATATTTTATTATCCCCGGCTCTTGATGTAGGAAATCTGTCACGAGAGCCGGTAATAGAAAAGGATTTCACCCACTGTAATTTGACTCAACAAAAATAAGCCACTGTATGAAGATACAGAGTGATCAATATTTTATTATCCCCGGCTCTTGATGTAGGAAATCTGTCACGAGAGCCGGTAATAGAAAAGGATTTCACCCACTGTAATTTGACTCAACAAAAATAAGCCACTGTATGAAGATACAGAGTGATCAATATTTTATTATCCCCGGCTCTTGATGTAGGAAATCTGTCACGAGAGCCGGTAATAGAAAAGGATTTCACCCACTGTAATTTGGCTCAACAAAAATAAGCCACTGTATGAAGATACAGAGTGATCAATATTTTATTATCCCCGGCTCTTGATGTAGGAAATCTGTCACGAGAGCCGGTAATAGAAAAGGATTTCACCCACTGTAATTTGACTCAACAAAAATAAGCCACTGTATGAAGATACAGAGTGATCAATATTTTATTATCCCCGGCTCTTGATGTAGGAAATCTGTCACGAGAGCCGGTAATAGAAAAGGATTTCACCCACTGTAATTTGACTCAACAAAAATAAGCCACTGTATGAAGATACAGAGTGATCAATATTTTATTATCCCCGGCTCTTGATGTAGGAAATCTGTCACGAGAGCCGGTAATAGAAAAGGATTTCACCCACTGTAATTTGACTCAACAAAAATAAGCCACTGTATGAAGATACAGAGTGATCAATATTTTATTATCCCCGGCTCTTGATGTAGGAAATCTGTCACGAGAGCCGGTAATAGAAAAGGATTTCACCCACTGTAATTTGACTCAACAAAAATAAGCCACTGTATGAAGGTACAGAGTGATCAATATTTTATTATCCCCGGCTCTTGATGTAGGAAATCTGTCACGAGAGCCGGTAATAGAAAAGGATTTCACCCACTGTAATTTGACTCAACAAAAATAAGCCACTGTATGAAGATACAGAGTGATCAATATTTTATTATCCCCGGCTCTTGATGTAGGAAATCTGTCACGAGAGCCGGTAATAGAAAAGGATTTCACCCACTGTAATTTGACTCAACAAAAATAAGCCACTGTATGAAGATACAGAGTGATCAATATTTTATTATCCCCGGCTCTTGATGTAGGAAATCTGTCACGAGAGCCGGTAATAGAAAAGGATTTCACCCACTGTAATTTGGCTCAACAAAAATAAGCCACTGTATGAAGATACAGAGTGATCAATATTTTATTATCCCCGGCTCTTGATGTAGGAAATCTGTCACGAGAGCCGGTAATAGAAAAGGATTTCACCCACTGTAATTTGGCTCAACAAAAATAAGCCACTGTATGAAGATACAGAGTGATCAATATTTTATTATCCCCGGCTCTTGATGTAGGAAATCTGTCACGAGAGCCGGTAATAGAAAAGGATTTCACCCACTGTAATTTGACTCAACAAAAATAAGCCACTGTATGAAGATACAGAGTGATCAATATTTTATTATCCCCGGCTCTTGATGTAGGAAATCTGTCACGAGAGCCGGTAATAGAAAAGGATTTCACCCACTGTAATTTGACTCAACAAAAATAAGCCACTGTATGAAGATACAGAGTGATCAATATTTTATTATCCCCGGCTCTTGATGTAGGAAATCTGTCACGAGAGCCGGTAATAAAAAAGGATTTCACCCACTGTAATTTGACTCAACAAAAATAAGCCACTGTATGAAGATACAGAGTGATCAATATTTTATTATCCCCGGCTCTTGATGTAGGAAATCTGTCACGAGAGCCGGTAATAGAAAAGGATTTCACCCACTGTAATTTGACTCAACAAAAATAAGCCACTGTATGAAGGTACAGAGTGATCAATATTTTATTATCCCCGGCTCTTGATGTAGGAAATCTGTCACGAGAGCCGGTAATAGAAAAGGATTTCACCCACTGTAATTTGGCTCAACAAAAATAAGCCACTGTATGAAGATACAGAGTGATCAATATTTTATTATCCCCGGCTCTTGATGTAGGAAATCTGTCACGAGAGCCGGTAATAGAAAAGGATTTCACCCACTGTAATTTGGCTCAACAAAAATAAGCCACTGTATGAAGATACAGAGTGATCAATATTTTATTATCCCCGGCTCTTGATGTAGGAAATCTGTCACGAGAGCCGGTAATAGAAAAGGATTTCACCCACTGTAATTTGACTCAACAAAAATAAGCCACTGTATGAAGGTACAGAGTGATCAATATTTTATTATCCCCGGCTCTTGATGTAGGAAATCTGTCACGAGAGCCGGTAATAGAAAAGGATTTCACCCACTGTAATTTGACTCAACAAAAATAAGCCACTGTATGAAGATACAGAGTGATCAATATTTTATTATCCCCGGCTCTTGATGTAGGAAATCTGTCACGAGAGCCGGTAATAGAAAAGGATTTCACCCACTGTAATTTGACTCAACAAAAATAAGCCACTGTATGAAGATACAGAGTGATCAATATTTTATTATCCCCGGCTCTTGATGTAGGAAATCTGTCACGAGAGCCGGTAATAGAAAAGGATTTCACCCACTGTAATTTGACTCAACAAAAATAAGCCACTGTATGAAGATACCGAGTGATCAATATTTTATTATTCTCGGCTCTTGTAGAAAATCTTCCACAAAAACTGATAATCGAAAACAATTCCACCACTGTGTGAAGATACGAGGTGATCAATATTTCAATATCCCCGTCTCTTGATGTAGGAAATCTGTCACGAGAGCCGGTAATAGAAAAGGATTTCACCCACTGTAATTTGACTCAACAAAAATAAGCCACTGTATGAAGATACAGAATGATCGATATTTTATTATTCCCGGCTCTTGTAGAAAATCTTCCACAAAAACTGATAATCGAAAACAAGTCCGCCACTGTGTGAAGATACGGGGTGATCAATATTTTATTATCCCCGGCTCTTGATGTAGGAAATCTGTCACGAGAGCCGGTAATAGAAAAGGATTTCACCCATTGTAATTTGACTCAACAAAAATAAGCCACTGTATGAAGATACAGAGTGATCATTATTTTATTATCCCCGGCTCTTGATGTAGGAAATCTGTCACGAGAGCCGGTAATAGAAAAGGATTTCACCCACTGTAATTTGACTCGACAAAAATAAGCCACTGTATGAAGATACAGAGTGAATAATATTTCATTATTTCTTGCTCTCGTAGAAAATCTTCCATAAAAACTGATAATCGAAAACAAGTCCACCACTGTGCGAAGATACGGGGTGATCAATATTTAATTATCCCTGGCTCTTAATGTAGAGAATCTTTTCGAGTCTTGTTGACATAGTGAAGGTAAATCAGCACTTCTTTCCATTTAATGTCCCAGAAAACCTGGGCCGGTATTCTCGTTCTCGAAAATGCTCACCGCTTTTCAGTCGCTCGGCACTTTCAATGTAAATTTGCATTTAAAGTGCCGAGCGACCAAAAAGCGGTGAGCGTTTTTGAGAACCAGAATACCGGCCCTGATCCGCAAGTTCTTGGAAGGTGGCTGGGGCATTGCACAACCCAAAACTTAGTACGTTAAACTCGTAGATTCCATACCCTTGCGAGCCGGTAATAGAAAACAATTTTACATAAATAAAGGAATTATTATATCATACAACAATAATTCTTCTAGGTCATATGTGGTTAAACGAACACACCTGTGTAAAAAAGCACGATTGCATGTGCATAAGCGAAAACGACAAACCAGTAAAACCCGGCCAAGTGGTACGAGAAGGAATTTGCAAAGAATGCCAGTGCGTCGACAATTTCTATTCCTGCAACGAAGAGAATTGTAAAGCCGAACTGAAAGAAGTCACCGAGCCTCCAGTAATAAAAAAAGAAGATTACGATTTGGACGCAGCACTTGTCAGCACTACTCCTAGATATTTGACGCCCAGTGTTTCACCACCTCCAATTTGTACTGAGGATAGGTAAGAGTTTGATTTTTGAAACTTAAATACTTAACAGGTATGATTTTAGATACATAAATCTTATCCAAGGAGACCAGCCTTTACCCGACAGCGCTTTTAGTGCTAGCAGTACTTTGAGCATGGCTTTTGCTCCAAGCAATGCCAAGTTATCTGGTAAAATAACAGAAAAATCTGGAGGTAGTTGGGCACCACAGTATACCAACCAAGTGAGGATTGTTTTTGTTGTTCACAAACTTATTAATAATTAATTATTATTTCCAGGATCAATACTTGGAAGTTGACTTTGGACAACAAGAGCCTGTATATGGAATAATAATCAAAGGAAGTCCACTGTATGACGAATATGTAACAAGCTACATGGTTTTATATAGTCCCGATGATAGCACTCATTTCTATTATGTATTGAATGATGAATCTCCTCCAAGACCACAAATATTCAGAGGTAAAAAAATTATTTTTAAATAATTGCTTGATAATCTGCTTTTTACAGGATCGGTGGACACATCTACTCCAGTCCAGCAAATCTTCACTACACCATTTGAAGCCAAGAAAGTCCGCATCAAACCACAAACATGGAACAATGGCATTTCCTTGCGTGTAGAAATAATTGGTTGTAGCGAACAACAACCAACTACTACTCCATCTTATGAATATTTCACTACATTAATACCTAAAGTGGCTTTTTGTGACGACGAAATGGGTTTGAGAAACGGTTCTATAGTAGATCAACAAATAAGTGTAAGTTCAGAAGCGTCTCCAGAGTTTGGCAAAAAACAGATAAGGCTTAATAGCGATGCTGGGTGGAAACCTCTTAGTGATTCTACAACGGAATGGGTTCAGTTTGATTTGTTGGAAAGTCGAGATATAACTGGAATTGTCACTAAAGGTAAATGTTTGTATGGATGAATTTCAGGTAATTGATTATATTTATAGGTGGTAAAAACGGCTGGGTGACTCTTTATACAGTCAAGTATTCGCAAAATGGCAAAGATTGGAACCCTATTTTGGACGAAAAGACTCAAAACGAAAAAACATTTTTGGGCAACTTTGACCAGAACTCACCACAAGTCAACAATTTTATGTTACCAATACATGCAAGGTAATTGTTGTATTTGTAATAGTAGGTTTTTTAAATTTATATTCCAGGTACATCAAAATTGTACCTCAGAAATGGCACGATTGCATACAATTAAGAGTAGAAATTCACGGTTGCTTTAAGCCGTACCCTGTACTGGAACCATCCGAAACCACCCCGGAAGTCAACTACCCTTGCAACACATGTCCAGGGGTTGAAGTTGGAAGTTTGGAGATGGAAGCTTGCAGGTGATAACTTTTCTCTCAAAAGTTCAAATCAAAAAATCAAGAGCCGATAATAATGAAAACTTTAACTATTCCTGGCTCTTGATTGCATTGAGAAGAATTGTGAATTCATCAACTAAAATTTGGACTGAATGCTTATAGAAAGGAATCAAGAGCATGGTTGGCATACACAAAAACCCACTGTCTCAGTATCATTTCTGGCAAATTTTCAATGTTCGTTAAATTAAATTTTGAAGCTTCTCAGCTGCAACATTGTTGAAACCAAATTGAAATCCATTGAAACACATCAATTTGGGTTTGTAGAGAATTTAATTGGCTTCAACTGCAGCTTAATTAAATTGAAATCTCATGAAAATTAACAGAGTTGTGAGGCAAAAAGTGTCTCAGTGTCATTTTTGGAAAATTGTCGATGTTCAATAATTTAAATTTTGAAGCTTCTCAGGCGCAAAACTGTTGAAACCAAATTACAATCATAATAACATCAAAATCTGATGGACATTAACGGAACTGCGAGGCAAAAACTGTCACCCATCATTTTCATAGATAAAAATTCGTCCCTCTTAAATTTGGCAATTTTTGACAGATGTCAAAGTCAAATTTGATAGATTGACGTCCAATGAGCTTGTGAAAACATTAATTTCTGTCAAATATTATTGTTTTGACTAGAGATGATTTAAGGTCTATGAATCTTCAAATTTTTGTAATTTTCATAAATAAAAATTCGTCCCTCTTAAATTGGGCAATTTTTAACAGATGTCAAAGTCGAATTTGATAGATGAATGTCAAATGAACTTGTAAAAACAATAATTTCTGTCAAATATATATTATTATTTTGACTAGAGATGATTTAAGGTCTATGAATCTTCAAATTTTTGTAATTTTCATAAATAAAAATTCGTCCCTCTTAAATTGGGCAATTTTTGACAGATGTCAAAGTCAAATTTGATAGATCGACGTTCAATGAGCTTGTAAAAAAAATAATTTCTGTCAAATAATATTATTTTGACTAGAGATGATTTAAGATCTATGAATCTTCAAATTTTTGTCAATTTCATAAATAAAAATTCGTCCCTCTTAAATTGAGAAATTTTTGACAGATGTCAACGTCAAATTTGATAGGTCGATGTCCAATGAGCTTGTGAAAAAATTAATTTTTGTCAAATATTATTACTTTGACTAGAGATGATTTAAGGTCTATGAATCTTCAAATTTTTGTAATTTTCATAAATAAAAATTCGTCCCTCTTAAATTGGGCAATTTTTGACAGATGTCAAAGTCGAATTTGATAGATGAATGTCAAATGAACTTGTAAAAACAATAATTTCTGTCAAATATATATTATTATTTTGACTAGAGATGATTTAAGGTCTATGAATCTTCAAATTTTTGTAATTTTCATAAATAAAAATTCGTCCCTCTTAAATTGGGCAATTTTTGACAGATGTCAAAGTCGAATTTGATAGATGAATGTCAAATGAACTTGTAAAAACAATAATTTCTGTCAAATATATATTATTATTGTGACTAGAAATGATTTAAGGTCTATGAATATTCAAATTTTTGTCATTTTTATAAATAAAAATCTGTCCCTCTTGAATCGAGCAATTTTTGACAGATGTCAAAGTCAAATTTGATAGATCGACGTCCAATGAGCTTGTGAAAACATTAATTTCTGTCAAATATTATTATTTTGACTAGAGATGATTTAAGGTCTACGAATCTTCAAATTTTTGTAATTTTCATAAATAAAAATTCGTCCCTCTTAAATTGGGCAATTTTTGACAGATGTCAAAGTCAAATTTGATAGATCGACGTTCAATGAGCTTGTAAAAAAATTAATTTCTGTCAAATAATATTATTTTGACTAGAGATGATTTAAGATCTATGAATCTTCAAATTTTTGTCAATTTCATAAATAAAAATTCGTCCCTCTTAAATTGAGCAATTTTTGACAGATGTCAACGTCAAATTTGATAGGTCGATGTCCAATGAGCTTGTAAAAAAATTAATTTCTGTCAAATGTTATTATTTTGACTAGAGAAGATTTAAGGTCTATGAATAATCAAATTTTTGTCATTTTCATAAATAAAAATCTGTCCCTCTTGAATTGGGCAATTTTTAACAGATGTCAAAGTCAAATTTGATAGATCGACGTCCAATGAGCTTGTAAAAAAATCAATTTCTGTCAAATGTTATTATTTTGACAATTAGAAACGATTTGATGCACATTAAGCTTCAAATTTTTGTCATTTCCATAAATAAAAATTCGTCCCTCTTAAATTGGGCAATTTTTGATAGATGTCAAAGTCAAATTTGATAGATCGACGTCCAATGAACTTGTAAAAAATTAATTTCTGGCAAATAATATTATTTTGACTAGAAATGATTTAAGGTTTATGAATCTTCAAATTTTTGTCATTTTCATAAATAAAAATTTGTCCCTTTTAAATTGGGCAATTTTTGATAGATATCAAATTCAAATTTGATAGATCGACGTCCAATGAGCTTTTAAAAAAAAAAAAAATCTGTCAAATATTATTATTTTGACGGCTAGAGATGATTTAAGGTCTATGAATCTTCAAATTTTTGTCATTTTCATAAATTCAATTTTTAACAGATGTCAAAGTCAAATTTGATAGATCGACGTCCAATGAGCTTGTGAAAAAATTAATATCTGTCAAATATTATTATTTTGACTAGAGATGATTTAAGGTCTACGAATCTTCAAATTTTTGTAATTTTCATAAATAAAAATTCGTCTCTCTTAAATTGGGCAATTTTTGACAGATGTCAAAGTCAAATTTGATAGATCGACGTTCAATGAGCTTGTAAAAAAAATAATTTCTGTCAAATATTATTATTTTGACTAAAGATGATTTAAGATCTATGAATCTTCAAATTTTTGTCAATTTCATAAATAAAAATTCGTCCCTCTTAAATTGAGAAATTTTTGACAGATGTCAACGTCAAATTTGATAGGTCGATGTCCAATGAGCTTGTAAAAAAATTAATTTCTGTCAAATGTTATTATTTTGACTAGAGAAGATTTAAGGTCTGAAGTTGAAGTTGAAGATTTTGCTACAAACAAATTTTGAAAACTTTCTAACTTTTGTCAAACACCCTGTATAGAGTTGAAACATTGGGATTTTAAAATTATCAAAAGCAATGTTTGATTTTTTTTCGGAAAAAAACACGTTACAGTATGTTCAATGGACCCTCCTAAAGACAATATAAACGGTTCTGTGAGATCTCAAAGTTTCACCTTTATACAGGGTGTCCATGAAAAATAAGAAACCTCTGAAGCTGAAGATTGTTTCACAATCACTGTTTTAAAACATAAAAATCTATATCCCATAAATAATTCAATTTCCAGGTGCCTAGCAGATTTATGGTTTGATGGTATTAAATGCGTAAACCGCACCCAATGTTCGTGCATGGTGGGCCATATAGCGTACGAAGTTGGCTCAGTTTACGAACAAGAAGACTGTTCTGAGTGTATTTGTAAATTAGGCGGCGTTTCGCACTGTACTCCCAAGCATTGTGGTCCTTGCAAAGAAGGTATTTAGTGTTTTTAGTCCAAAAAAAAAACACTTTTTGATATTATTTTTTAGGACTAAGAAGTACTGTAACCAGCACATGTCAGTGCACTTGCCAGCCGTGTCCAGAAAACACCATTTTATGTCCTACAAGTAATATTTGCATTAATGCTATGCTTTGGTGTAATGGCGTTCAAGATTGTCCCGACGATGAAGTTGATTGTATGTATTTTTCTTTTGGTTTTTTTTTGAAAATTGATTCATTTAGTATTGATTTTTAGGTATTACGACCACAGCTCAACCATCTACAACAACCAAAAAACCAAATACTTGTCCTATAGTAGACTGTCAGCCTGGTTATAAGAAAATTTTGGCTGTAAAGGAAACAGGACAAAAAGCTTATCTATCTCCATTGCTTATGGCACAAAGTAGGTATACAGCACCAGGCTACTAGACACATAGGCTTCAACTAGTTGACAACATTGATTGTCCTTAAGCTAATTCGTCTTATAATTCCCCATGTGTTTAGTAGCTTGGTACGGTCTGTGTGATACCTATTTTGAAAAATGAACAATTTCAGGCTCAACCAAATCAAAATACAAGTCAACCATCAAAACTTTAAGTACCAAAGTCAAATATCCGAGAAAGTACAAACTTCAAACTCCTAAAGAAGCTGTAGAAGAACTCATTTGCCCCACTTACAAGTGCGTTAACAACAAACCACCCCCTGATTTCATTCACACAGTAGAAGAATGTCCTCCAATCACTTGCCAGCCAAATTTCATTCCCATTTTGGATAATCATAACGATCCTGGATCGAAATCTTGTCCAACGTAAGTGAAAAACCCCAACAATCAATTTGAATTTACTAAAAATATTTATAGTTATTCATGTTACCCTCAACCAATGCCAGACGCAATTTGCAATGTGACAGGACGCACTTTTAACACTTTCGACGGTACCGAGTTCAAATACGACATTTGTAATCACGTGATTGGCCGGGATTTAGAGTTGCAAGAGTGGGAAGTGGCCTTAAAGAAAAATTGCAGCCAAACTTGTTCCAGAGATTTGGTGATTTATCATAACGAACACGAAATTGTCCTGAGATCTGATTTGAGTATTAAATATGATGATTACGAGTACAGTGTGGAGCAAATCAAGAATATTGGAGCTCAGAATAAAGGGTTTTCGATAGCGCAGCTTGGCAGTACTGTGATGTTTGTTTCAGATAGGTAATCATATATACATTGTGTTATTTCTAAATCACTCCAAATGTGTCCACACTAGAGCCGGGAATAGTCAAAAATTGAATTTATAGTAATTATAATTCAAATCTTGGATTTTCTCTTATAAATGATTATTTTTCTCTTTAAATTGGTCATGATGTTAGGGTTTTTTTCAACTAATTCAGACCCTCTCTATCGATTAGAAAATTCAAAAATTCGTAGAATTATACTCTTTCCTCCTACGTAAATACGATGCCAGATTCTTGAATAAAAATCAAGTGCAAGTACCCTATATTGATTTTTTTCTATAGATATGGTTTTTGGATTATCTGGAACAAACTAGCAAACGTAAAGTTTGGCATAGCTCACAAATTACTACACAAAGTTGACGGACTTTGTGGCTACTTTGACGATGAATCTGAAAACGATAAGCGAAAACCGGATGGCAGTATAGCCAGAAGCTCAGCAGAATTTGGAGACAGGTAAATCTTAAATCTCTTCAATTATTTACCACTAATAAGTTATTCTTGTATAGTTGGGCTTTAAGCAAAGATCAACCAGCATGGTGTGAAGCAAAAGCCTGTCCAATAGCCATCCAAAATCAGGCCTGGGAAATGTGCAACAAAGTCAAAGAACAACCTTTAGGCCAATGCGCCAAAACTCTGGACATTGAACAATTCGTTTCCAGGTGTTTGGATACCACTTGTACTTGCTTGGAAAAGGCCAAAGATAATCACGCTGCCCAAGAGGAATGCAGATGCAATGCTTTACAAACTTTTGTAGTAGATTGTTTGTCTTCGGATAGCGGTATCGACTTGTCCGACTGGAGAATGCAGCAAGATTGCCGTAAAAAATTTTCAATTATTGTATATGTTTTAAATTGATTGGTAATTTTTTTTCAGCTGCTTTATGTGAAGCTCCTTTGGTTTATCACGATTGTTATCAGAGAAAGTGCGAGCCGACTTGTGAATCTATTGCCGATCCTTATATTTGTCCTAAAGTGCCTAATATGTGTTTTCCTGGATGTTATTGTCCAGCTGGTAAGTTTTGGCAGCTTTTGAATTTTGACTGCACTTGGAAAAATCAATAGTTTAAATTTTGACTATTAGAAATTCTTGATTGGCTGGAGGAAAATCTTCCAGCTATAAGCGCAACTAGGCGCCATTTTTTTTTTTGATGGGGTTTGATAGAAAGGAAATAAGACGCGTAAAAAAAGTTAGTTTCATGAGGGTTTGTACCTACGTCATCATTTGCCTTTTTTTTTTTAAAAAATAGGTTTTCATGTCCAAAATTTCAAACAAACATATAGTTCGTTGCATGGCATGAAGGTTTTTACTTACATCATCGATGACGTCATAACTTAGAGAAAAAATTAGGTCATAGATTAAATCATAGAGCACCTTCGGAATTATTGTTTTGTAATACATTTTTTAACTTGTAGTGACCTTTGTGTTTTTACTATTGTATTTTTACCTTTATGTTTTTACCTTTGTGTTTTTACCTTTGTGTTTTTATTATTGTTTATTTTTTTGTGTGTAGTTAGCTTTGGTTAGTTGTTAGGCAAGGTTGTGGAGATAAATAATTTCGTTTTTGTTTATTATTATTATTAAAAAGTTATTAACTGAATTGCTCCTAATTCTTCCAGAGAAGTATTTTCTCATTTGAAATATTGTGTTCAGACAACACAATAAACTCAAAATATAGTTTATTCAGTTATCCGAAAATATATAAATAAATTTCTCCTGGAGTGATTTTTGACTGGAAAATTTCGTAATTTCCCTATAATGAGCTCCTCACTTTTCTCTTTTTCCTGGCAAGTTTTCAGAGTTTTCCCTCTGCCAGTTTTCCAAAAAAAAAAATTAAAATACAAGAGGGTGAATTTTCCTTAATTCTGCTTTAATAATTCAATTTTCAAAAATTTTTTATGGAGTGATTTTTCATTGGAAAATTTTAAAATTATCCTATAATCAGCTCATCACTTTCCTTTTTCTTTTGGAAAAATTTCACAATTTTTGCTTTGCCAGTTTTCCAGAAAAAAATTGAAATGTGAAAGGATGAATTTTGCTCAATTCATTAAGCTCCTCACTTTCCTCTATTTCCTGGAAAGTTTTCCCTCTTCCAGTTTTCCAGAAAAAAATTAAAATGTGAGAGGTGAATTTTCCTTAATTTTGCTTAAAAAAGTTAATTTTACAAAATTTTCCCTGGAGTGATTTTTTACTGGAAAATTTTGAAATTTTCGTAAAATGAACTCGTCATTTTCCTCTTATTCCTGGAAAATTTTCAAACATTTCCTTTTGCAAGTTTTCCAGAAAAAAATTAAAATGTAAAAGGGTGAATTTTGCCTAAAAAAATCAATTTCCCAGAATTTTTCCTGGAGTGATTTTTCACTGGAAAATTTTGAAATTTTTCTATAATGAGCTCCTCACTTTCCTCTTTCTTTTAAAAAAAATTCACAATTTTGGCTTTGCCAGTTTTCCAGAAAAAAAATGAAATGTGAAAGGATGAAATTTGCTTAAAAAAGTCAATTTTCCAAAACTTTCTTCGACTTTTCTTGCAGTAATTTTTCACTAGAAAATTTTGAAATTTTCCTATAATGAGCTCCTCATAATCTTTTTTCTCTCAGAAAAATTTCACAAGTTTTGGTTTATTAGTTTTCCAGAAATAAATTGAAATGTGAAAGGATGAATTTTGCTCAATTCATTGAGCTCCTCACTTTCCTCTATTTCCTGGAAAGTTTTCTCTCTTCCAGTTTTCCAGAAAAAAATTAAAATGTAAGAGGTGAATTTTCCTTAATTTTGCTAAAAGTTAATTTTTCAAAATTTTCCCTGGAGTGATTTTTTACTGGAAAATTTTGAAATTTTCGTAAAATGAACTCCTCATTTTCCTCTTGGTATAATGAGCTTTTTATTTTCCTCTTTTTTTTTGGAAAATTTTCACAATTTTTCTTTTGCCAGTTTCCCAGAAAAAAATTGAAATGTAAGAGGGTGAATTTTGCCTAAAAAAGTCAATTTCCCAGAATTTTTCCTGGAGTGATTTTCCACTGGAAAATTTTGAAATTTTCCTCAACTTAGCCACCTGTCAATGTCAAATTTTTGACAGGCGGAAGGAATTTCTTTAAGGCGTTTCGGAAACTCCAGGCGAAATTTTGATGACAGCTGTCATGCGACCGGAATTTGTTTATATTGGGTAAACGCAATTTCCCCACGCTCTACCTTACATGGTGGAAACCTCAAACTCGGTGGGTTATGTTTATTCAACTTGGCCGATCTGTCGGTGTCAAAAATTTTTGACATCTGTCAACGTCAAAAAATTTATTTTTGCATTTTTCGGAAAAATAAAAATCCGAGTGTCGGAAAAGTTTCCCCGGACCCAAAAACCCCTTAAAAAAAATTGACATTGACATAGGTCAAAAACTAACGGCCTGACAAGGAGAAACGTCATCTTTGACATACGTCAAAATTCGAAGATGCGTTCGGATAGAACTTTCGTCGCAAAACACTTTGGCGATATCGATAGATGTCACCTGTCAAATTTGACACATGTCCGATTTTTTTCCCGCTCTACTATAAAAGCTACGACACCCAAACCCCGGTAGAAGGCGGTTTTGGGTCGCCAACTATCGGTTTGTGTCGGAAAAATTTGACAGCTGTCAACGTCAATAAAGTTTTTTTTTTTATTTTGCGAATTTCGAAAAAAAAAGTGGCGGAAAACGTTCCGCCGACCCCGAAAACCCCAAATAAAAATTCTCATCGATATACGTCAAAAACTGTCAGAGTGACAGCACCAAACGTATTTTTTTGACACATGTCAAATTTTCAAGAAACGACCGGATATACGTTCTGTCATTTTTTAAATTGCTTTCAATTGCCGATGACGTCTGTCATCCTACCTTAATAATAATAATAATAATAATAATAATAATAATAATAATAATAATAATAATAATAATAATAATAATAATAATAATAATAATAATAATAATAATAATAATAATAATAATAATAATAATAATAATAATAATAATAATAATAAAGTGATAGCGAATTAAGTCAATTAATAAGCATTGTAAAAGCATTTAGTGACGATATTGGAATGGAAATGGGATTGGAAAAATGTGCTAGGGTATATATAGAGAAAGGCAAACTAATTTCAAAAAAAAACGTAAGACTAGATCAAATAAACTTCATCAGAAGTTTAGGTGTAGAAGAAACATATAAATACCTTGGGATGGAAGAATCTTCTGGTTTACATATGGATTATGTTAAACTTAGACTTCGCAATGAATATATTCGACGAATACGAAGCATTCTTAAAACAGAATTATCTGCAGAAAATAAATTTAAAGCGATAAATACTCTAGCTGTGCCTGTCTTGAGATATAGCTTTGGAATTATTAATTGGCTGAAGAGTGAAATCAAACAACTAGATAGAACAACCAGGAAGAATTTAACAATGGGAGGCATACATCATCCTAATGCAGACGTTGCTAGAATATATATTAAAAGGAAAAGTGGAGGTCGCGGCCTAATAGAACTAGAGGCAGCTTTCGAGGAAGAAATAACCGGATTAGCAGAATATATGAATAATTCTAAGGATGAATATGTTACTTTAGTAAAACATTACGACAATCAACAACAGAAATACTCTATTACAAAGGAAAATGCCGCTATTAAAGAAAAATATTTACCAGCCGGACAAGATAACGAAGGTAACAAAAGAATCAAGCCTATAATAGAAAATAAACGTATCGATGAACTTCGAAGCAAACCTCTACATGGACAATTCTTCAAGCAACTAGAAAGACCGGTAGTTAATAAAAATGCAAGTATAGCTTGGTTAAAGAGTGCAAGTTTGAAAGGGGAAACAGAAAGTCTAATAATTGCCGCTCAAGATCAGGCATTGAATACGAGATATCTGCAAAAAAACATCTTCAAACAGAAAGTTGACAGCAAATGTAGAATTTGTGGAAAGGCTGAGGAACATGTGAGCCACATCATAGCGGGATGCTCGACATTAGCACCGTCAGACTATACACATAGGCACAATAAAGTTGCGGATTATATTCACTGGGTTATATGTAACTATTATAAATTTAATGTTACAGAGAAATATTACCAGCACACCCCTGAAAAAGTTGTTAACATTAAATATAATGATCTTGACATCACAATATTATATGATGTTCCTATCAATACTGACCGAAGCATTAAGGCAAACCGACCTGATATTGTAATCCATGATAAGAAATCTAGATCATGCCTATTAATAGATGTTGCAGTACCTGACGACATGAATATTGCAGTCAAAGAAGTTGAAAAACTAAGTAAATACAAAGATCTGGAAATTGAAATATCTAGAATGTGGAATGTCAAGACAAGGGTGCTTCCTATAGTGATTGGAGCATTAGGTACTGTCACAAAAGAACTGGAGCAGAGAACAAGTGAAATACCAGGTCATCCATCATCTATGATGCTACAAAAAATTGCTCTCTTAGGCACTGCACACATCCTAAGAAAAGTGTTAGGATAAACTGATAGGTTACTTTGAACTCTTATTGAGCTCTGAACCTATCAAGAGATACCGATTTTCATCGAGAAATTGAGGATAATAATAATAATAATAATAATAATAATAATAATAATCTTTTTTTACTACTAACCTGAGAAATTGTCATTATTCAATATATTTTCCTAGGAAAAAATTGAATTTCTTATTATATTAGGTGAATAATGAAAATAATGAAAAAATACCTAGGTTAATAATGAAAATGACGTCATGACGCAAGGATATTGTCATGTTTCTATTGGTTCAATTTCATTTTTATAGGTCAATTTGACAGGTTTCTGTAGGTACATAGGAAGTTATCATAAGCTGTTGATAGAGGGCAACACTTTCAAGAGGGCGTTCAAAAAAAAAATAATTGGAGCACAGATTTTAAAAAAAAAATTCATTTTTTACTAGCAGTAGTAAAAAAAATTCTATATATTCCTCGGTAGAGAAAGTCATTATATACCTCACTCATTATAAACCTCGGCGCTAG